TAAGGTTGGTGTTCTCAGTGTAGAGCACATAGGTTGCATTCGATGATTTGATTAACGATCGCGTTCGGGCGGCTTCTGTGATAAAGGAGAAAATACACGAACATGGATGGGGATCGTCTGTCGTACTTTTCACATCTCTTTCTATGAACTTGGCCATGTGGCTAATGTCCAGCAAAATCTCACGCATGGCTTTGTCACTGTGCAAATCATCCAATTTGATTAATGGCACTTTGGTGTGTCTTCCGCATGAACATTCTGCGATGCGTCAGTCCCCATTTGTACACATCAGTCTGCAAATAACATAATCATAGGTTGCATTCGATGATTTGATTAACGATCGCGTTCGGGCGGCTTCTGTGATAAAGGAGAAAATACACGAACATGGATGGGGATCGTCTGTCGTACTTTTCACATCTCTTTCTATGAACTTGGCCATGTGGCTAATGTCCAGCAAAATCTCACGCATGGCTTTGTCACTGTGCAAATCATCCAATTTGATTAATGGCACTTTGGTGTGTCTTCCGCATGAACATTCTGCGATGCGTCAGTCCCCATTTGTACACATCAGTCTGCAAATAACATAATGCGATTGAAACTATTACCCTATTTTTGTGTGTTCAATCGGTCTTGCCACTAAGTCGTCGATGAGTCACGCTAGCGGCACGACAAACTTCAGCCGGTTTACACCGTAAATTGAATAAGTGGTTTCAGTTAGTTCGGTTAAAACTTTATATCTGTACTGACTATTGCTTTAAATAGGAAATAATTCATCTATATAGACCACCGATTGACTCTTGTTTCCAAGGTGGCTCATGCAAATATCAGTTAATGTAAGTCGCAATGGGTTTTCCATTTATTTTTCTATAATGCAAAAATTGTAACGAAAATCGATTGTTGAACGTGTAGTTTTTACTTACCTGTAAACAGTGCAGTTCGATGACGTTTTTAACACAAATAACGTCAAAATTATGCTCCGTAAGAAGTGCGACTTAAAACCAAAGGCCTGGATCACAGTATCGCGCTGTTTAAATGTGTTTATGACACGTTCACTGCATCTCTTTAATGGACTGGAAAAGCATTGTTGAAAGTTAATTTGCCTTTGCGTCATCCACGGATGTCGTGTATTTGATGATGCCGGGTTTTATTACTATTTTCCACTATCATTACAGCGGATTACGTCAAGTGAGATTGAAGCCAAATCGAAGGATGTTCAGAAATGTGGTTGGGTAAATGCCACATGACACGATATTCACGTAGGGGTAAATCTGCGACCCAAATGGAGTTCACGGATCAGATTGAACGCAGGGATATTGGATGTAGGTTGGTCTTTTGTTGGATGATTTTCAGTTCGGCTAGATAGTATGGTCGGCCGATTGCTGATGTGAACCGACTGATACTTGTGGCTTTTGCGTTGAGTGTAGTAGAATACGCGCACAGTGAGTAGACGCTGCATTTTTCCCCGTGGTAGAGACTGTGCATCCAAGGATGAGTTTGTTAATATTGAAAGTGCCAGTGATCCAGTCTGAGATATCGAGCAACATCAGTCTGTAAATGAAAAAAGGTGATCACATCAGGTCTCCAAAAGTTCTCCATAAGTTACCCACCTACTCAATCCGGGATTGATTGGATGGTAAAATGTACTGGATTCTTCGAATGGTGATTTGGTAGATTGAAGTCTTGTGTTAAAATTGTGAAAAGTTCACTAGCCTGAGTCCGATTCGAACCCACGCAAAGACGCCACCCGTGCTTTTGTACAGAACACGCTCTACCAGTATATACGGCAGGTTGTAGTGCAAGACCGCATTGAAACTAGATATATGAAGTACCTTGTCAACGGATGACAAGCGGTTTGGAGAGGCAAATTTAGTGGTCGCAAGTTTCAGATATCTCCAGGTATTATCGTGATGAAATAGCAGGCGTCCGGTTTGACGTCAATACTTGGGCTGATCTCCGCGGATAAGATACAAGTAGTTCACCCCGGAACACGGAATTGACACTTCACAATCACGTGGTTCGTGACAGTGATCGTTCACACGATAAGTTTAGTGATAGGGGAGCATTTTGAGATTCATTTACAATCTGTTGTTCTGGTCGATCAGCCGAAAATACTTTTCGCAACATTCTGCAGGGCAAATATCCCAGATAGATTGATTGATTCGGATTATCTCCAAGCAGGTTTAAGTGCAAAAAATCTTGATTCTGAAATACAAGTTTCGGCAACGTCCAAAAGAATCTATAAAAAAATATCTTTTTTGCCTGATTTAATAGCTTGGTGGATTCTTATCGCACTATCATACTTCACGTTTCCACGTTCAGTAAGAACAGTAAGAAAAGACCAAAACTTGGTAGTGCTACACTGCATGTGGATAAGTTGTTTATTGTACCTAACATATCCACAAATGATCTACAACACATTTTTTGGTTTCCCAATCGAACACCAATAAGGACTACAAGAATATGGATGACATCAAACAAAGGGTATCTGTTTGTTGTATTTAGACCTCCGAATAGAACACGTCGTTTGAGCTTGCACCAGTGCGCCATTCGTGTGCGGCTTCGACAATTAATTCCTATCAAAAATATGGATTTGGAGCTGCGATGAATGTGTGTGTATGTGCGGGGGTGGTATAATGAACTTTTAATCAAACCTCACTGTTGTTGCTGATAATTTATGTAAAATTCCCAAACAAATTACACGGATCGATACTTTAACGTGTTGATGCGTTGAAAACATAGTTTTCTGTTCTCTTCCTGTCTCTTTTTTTTTCCCCTCCCCTTCCTTTTGATGCGGTCGGCGAAAATTCAAATTGATTGATTCTGTTATTCTCTTTATTGATTTTTGATACCATTACGGAATGCAGAAAACGGATGACAGCTTCCGAATGCTTACAACATCCCTGGATTAAGGTAATATACTGCTGTGATCGATTTTTTCATTTTCATTTTTATTTGTCAATTGGTTGTAACGCAGCTATTTTTCTTTCTCATCGATGGAAAATGATCTTTAGAACGTCCGGGGCTGAACTAAATATCTGACCATCAAATGTGAATATCCGAACTATGTTTTATTGCTTTCTATCCAATGCATTATTCGCCTGACCTGATCTACTACGCTTCCCATCCCTTTAAGGGAGCACAGTCAATAGCCGTTTCAAGGGACACGGTTCTGTAATAGGATATCATTGGAAATTATTTAGTAAAATGGAAGAAAATCACACACACACACACACACACACCAACTGCTGCGCAGCGCATACAGTTCAGTATGCGTTTTAATACGAATGTTCAGTTGGTGATATTAAGTCTCGCTGAAGTCGAAACGAGCGACAGATGATTTTGTTCGAATAGGCTAATAAATCAGAGAAAATGTAGCTTTGAGTGGGATAGTGTCAGAATATTTCCATTAAAGAAAAACGGTGGAGTTGCAGGGTGATTTCCCCACCCACCCTGGAAACACATCTGAATGTAGTTTGTGCGGGTCTATGTATGTAGGATCAGATGATAGAAAAAGTGCCGGAGAGGATAGTGTTATTTACAAAAGAGATAGTAGTGAATGAGAAATTATCGATCCTGAATCTGGTTTGTACGGACATCTTCGGTGAATCGAGATTTTACACTTTCACTGGTTCAAAATAGATCCGTCTTGACGCTTTCTTTGTATATTACTTGAAAAAATTTACACTATTTACAGGTATTCTACAAATGGTAGCTTTTCAGATTTTGGTGTTTTCTGTTACGGTTTCGATATCATACCTTGGGAGATCACTGATACCCCCCTCCAAAACAGCATCACAATCACCGGCTCCACGATGGCGCCAATGAACGAACGGCTGAAATTTTATTAAATTATGTTGCCGACGTCCTTCTCAGTTGGGGAGTGCTCTAGCAGTTTATTTTCGAGGAAACATGAGAATCTGTAGAGTCAGAACTTTGCACCTAGACACATTGAAAACAATATCACTCTCCGGAAGCGATTGATGAGTTTCTCCAAGTGCTCCCTTAAGTGTTAGCGAAACCTGGAGAAGAGACAATATATGCGAAGAATACGCATAGACATTAGTTAGAAACAACTTGTTGGCAAAAGAGGTGTAGAAAACAACTGCCCTTTCTAATCAGTGCCTCCGAAGGTTTACGCACAGTCTCGTTTGCCACTTTTCCACAGGACTGCGATCACTTGAAAGTTTGCATACTTATAAGTTACAATAGAACTTGCCTTTCTGAAACAACCATCCGTTCCCATTGAGGGATAATCTAAGACTCGACAGGGATCAAGCTGAAATTTCGCCATGATGGTATTTGTATACAAATAACATATAGATGTCATTAAATCCACATTAAACTTCACATTGCTAATATATGGTTTACTATTTGTTTGCTTTAACCTGTGGATAATGAATGTCTTCATTTTCGAATTGGTTCACCCTATTCATCAGCATGTTCCACGAGTCTGCTCTCTCAAGGGGGGGGGGGGGGGGTGCATGGTTAACCAGGTCACCTTTTTAAAAACAACGGATAAAAGCAACTCCAAGTGCTGCTGCCTTTTACAATGGAATCATTTCCACAATGAACAAATGCAGAGCAGGAGCAATCTGTAATCCGTATATTGTAACAAATTTTGTACGGCATTTGTTTTACGCGTGTTCATGTTTCACGCCGTGCGCATGTATATATATTTAAATAAGCACCGATTGAATACGTCGAATCGATTCAAAAACATTCGATCGGTGGGCACTCATGATGGTTTTACTGATCGCCAGATTACTGTCGAGTCTTTCTAGCATGGACACGTACTACCTTCAGACCAGGTTATCGATTAAAATCGTTGTGTGATGCACATGGATGAACTTTGTTTGATGGATTCACACTTTTCGTCGTCGACCCAATAAACATGAAACGGAGTCATTCTTGGCTACGCAGATATGGTTCACATGATCGCGGTATTCTCTTCCAGACGGTGCTCTCGATTTTCGATTCTTTCACTTCCTTCCTCATCTCCTGTAAGTCTCATGGATCACCAAAGGACAAACATAGAAATTACTTCAAGCGGGTACAGGTCCACCGATGGTAAAGTATAGACTGAATGGAGAGTGAAGTCATTGGACAGAATAGTCGTGTGACTCAACAATAATCACAGTGAATAACGAAGAATGTCCATTCACAATGGATACGCTACACTGAGAGCACATTCGATACCCCCTCCATCAGATCAACCGCTGTTTTGGTTCAGAGTGTACTTCCAAATGCATTCAAAGTGATAACCGAATCGAATGATCCGACTACTGATCATTATCACAAAGCTAAGCTCGCTTTAAATTGGTCAGAAAAGAGCTAAATGTTTGCGAATGGAATAAAGTTATCTTCGCACCCCATTCAGAATTCGACAGGTTTAATCTAGATATTGACGTTCGGGGTTCCGGAATAGGAATGGGCTGACCACTGAGCAGACATGATTACACATTTTAACCATTGACCCTCGTGATTCGAAGTTCACGAAACTCGAATGAACGAGTTGAGAGCGAGAGAGAAGATTGGCGGAGCATACGGATGAATAGGGTGAATCAATTTGAAAACGAAGATATTCCTTACACATAAATTATGGGCAGCGAGAGTTAAGAACTTTGTTGGATAGCGTCACTCTCGAAAAGGAGCCTTTTCTGTAGACCTGACCGACGTGGGTGAAATGCTTGTTTGTGCACTTTAAACCCGAATGGACTACATGCACGAGAAAAAGCTCACTTAGCGGTAATTGCGGAATCACTGATAT